CAAGAATCACATACCATATGGCACATATGTGAGTAATGACACAGTATGCTATCATGCAGTTGAGCAGAAGAATGTTTGAGAACTAACTGAATATTTTGGCTTAGATGGTGGAGGATGACTAAGGCAGCGAGCACCTACTATATCTTTACCATGTTGACAACTGGAGGTTCCATTACCAGAGGAATCTTTCACATGTTTTGTAGTGTGCCTACCATCACCCAAATTGAAGATTGCCACAACTCCTACTATGTACTCCTTCAGTAATCACTGATCCTCATCTTACTAGGGGTTGTTCATTTCCCTTTCAGGCTATTATCCCTACAGCAGGTTTTTATTACTTCGAACTATACATCCTCTCCACACATCACGAGGACAACTAATAATATATAGGCAATTAGGATGAACACATTTGAATAATGTGCACACAAATCAATTAGGTACCTACTTCAAAAGATGCTTCTAATTTTAAGAGGTTAAAGCACCATTTGTTGGTCCTTGAAAATATAACTACACAGGAACACATGCATGCTAGCATTTCCATTTTTGTGTTACTTCAGTATTAAAAAAAAAAAATGTTTTAGAAAACACCAAAAACAAGTTTATATATTTTTATAACTTGCATCTTTTATTTCCTAAACATCTTTTGTTTCCAACCACCTTATTTTCATGCATAAACACATATAGATATAGAAAATGACACTAAAATATTTTCTAATATGATGAACAGAACCTTATTCTTTCCAGCCTCCAATACTTACTATTGCATCAAAAGCCCCATAAACAGCCATTGCTCCAGCAACGCCAGATACACCAATTGCTGGTTTTACAACATCCTTGGTGAATTCAGCCCTATCAGAAGAAAATAAGATCTCTTAATCTAAATCATCATTGACAAATGCAAGCAACAGATAAATAATAACTTTTTATAATGAAAAAACGCAATAGAGAGTACACATCTAATCCAGTAGTACCATACAAACGCCTGTTGTAATCCTGAATATGCCATGAGGGGGACAATTAATAGCATCCGTATATCGAGCAACGGAGTGATTATTGACTTTAACAGAGACACCAAAGAGGAATAAAAACTGACAGAAGAATTTGGAGACCCTTTCTCGCATTTACCATCTGATTTACGTATGAAGAACATAAGTATGCACCCTAATGTCACAATGCAAAGGAACACCGTGAACAATAATGTAGTGCCACTGGTACTTCCCTCCTGCACTAATTTAAAAATATTAAATGAGCAACAGTTTTGCAAATTCTTATTCGATAGAAAGCCAAATCATCAATAATAATTCAACCGAAAGAAGGGTATGTGTTTAGTAACTCAGTGCTTATTCTCTTTATATAACACGCATCTCACATGTTTACTAAGCAAAAAATATGCTAGACAATCTCCTAATGGAGCAGTTAATGTTGCCCATGATTTTTCCAAAATGCTCATGAAAGTTAAAATAAACTTAAAATGCATGCTTGCAATTTCTCAAGTACATATGACTTGAAATGTTTTTAAAAAATAACCGTTAGTGCTGGTATGCCAACAAGCCAATCACATTAGATGATATGGGGCTACTATTGTAAACGATTTAGTTCAAAGATTATAACAAAAGGCATATACTATTTTGTTTTATCACTTGTTGCTTTAATGAATAATTAAGTTCACAAAATGAAAAGTGTCTTACGAATTGATCAATGCCAATGTGGTTGTAATGAAATATAATAATGAGACATAGTGACTTTCAACATAATCCAATAATATCCCTAGTCATAGGATCACTAAGGCATGGATAGCATGGATTTCTAGTAGACTAGTTGATGCAGGTAAGGGTTAGTATTATTCAGTCTGGACAAGATATTAGACCGGACAGGATAATATGCTCAATCCAGTCTTAGTACAGAAATTTCTGGACCGAAATTTCTAGTCTATTTCCAGTTTGGACTTGATCTTGTCCGGTCCAGACCGTTTAATTTTCATAATATTAGAAATTAAATTATTAAATATACAGATTATATAAATGTGTATTGTTTTATTGAAATAAAAAGTACAGTATAATTCATCAATTTACAAGCACTGAGGAGATGTCAATCTATATACAAAAAGTTTACGTGTCAATCAAAATATCAATGAAGTCCCAAAATCCTCCATTATATAAAAGAGGATCACCCAAAACCAAAAAACTCAAGGTCTGGAACCGTCTATCTCTAACTCTATCAAATTCATTTTCCATTCCTCCAAAACTCTCCTATTTCTATATTTCCACACCACTTAAAAGATAGTAATGGGAGCGAGACTCACATTTTTCTTCCCTCCACTAATTCCTCTCTAAACCCAAATCTCTTCCTTTACTGAACCAGCCATCATCTAACTGATCCCAGTAACTCATAAGCCATGGTATATAATTTATATGCAAGGGGGCATCAAATAATGATGTTATTGCAAGACTCCACCTCCCTCTTGCATAGAGAACATCTATTCACCAAAAGCTTTCTCATCCTCATAAGCTTGTCAAAAGTAAGGATACACCCACGACCTGCTTTCCACACAAAGAAAGCAACACATTGGATCGAGCATTACCCTTCTAGATTTGCTGAAAAGGAAAACTGGTTTTCGTGTCTTTCTTAATCAAGTAATTATAGAAGACCAGACCGAGAAAGTCCCTCTGGTATTAAGACTTCAGATTAGTTGGTCATTGCTCTTATTAATTGATGTTAAAGAGAGTGTATTGAGGAGAGTTTCATAATCATTCAATTTTTTTGTAGCTTCCACATGCCACTCTCTTTCCCTCACATTATCTTTGAATGCTTCAAGAACTGTGATATCCTTGTGTCGTGCAACAACATAGATATGCGTAAACTAATCTCTGAGCAATCCCTCTCTAAGCCAAATATCCTACCAAAAACTAATTCTGTCACTAGTGCCAATACTCCACCTGATGAAATCTTAGAATTCATTTATACCCATGCATATATTTTTCCACATCCTCTTCCCATGCAATCTAGTCAATACTCTGGAGTACCACCTTCCATCCGTGATGTCAAACATCACCACTATCATCCTCCACCATAAGATACCATTTCTTGTATGAATCTCCCTAAGCACTTACCCTGTAAGGCCAGATTCATCTTGAATAAAGATCTCAACCTCAAATCTCCCTAAGAAATTGACTTTTTGATCTTATCCCACGCCACCAAGTGATATTTTTTTCTATCCTCAGACTTGCCTCAAACAAATCTACACTAAATTGATCCTAGCATCTTGTTAACACTTACCGGGATTGTCAAAAGGGACATGTAATAAATAGAAGGTTGGCCAACATATAATAAGTGTAAGTCTCCCCTTTATGGACAGGAGGTTTCTTTTCTATCCCGCCAACCTCCTCTCATATCTCGCAACCATAGGATCCCACATACTCACATCTTTTTATTTGGTTCCTAAAGGTAACCCCAAGTACTTAATCAGCAACTCTAACACTTTTACATCCCATGACTCTTGTCAATCCAGGAGTATCTCTCCTTTATCCATTTTCACCAACTCAGAGTTGGTTAAGTTGATATTTAGACCAGAAACTGCTTGAAAACTCATTACAATGCATCTGAGTTAAGCATTGTCCTCTTGTCTGGTTCACAAAATACTAGAGTGTTATTAACGAAAAATAAGTGGCTTACCTCCTCTATATGCTCTTTTACCTACCTTTAAACATTTAAAAAAATCCAACTCTCTGGTTCTTAGCAATATTTTGTTGAAGGCTTCCATGACGACGACAAAAATATGAGAAATAATGGATCAACTTTCCTAAGACCTCTGGAGGTATTGAACAAAGAAGATGGACCCCATTCACCATGACCGTAAAAGAAATTATACTAATACAAGAGGTAATCCACCTGCACTATTAGTAGCTTAAACCAATCTCTAAGCATATAATCAAGAAAGCTCCAATTTACATGACATCTATAGTGATCCAAGCTTATGCAATGTAGTTCCCATAATGTTTGCAGATATTCTTTTTGGTCAATCTTGGCTTTATGATCAAAATGTTTAATATAATGAGACTACCAATACTTACCATCTTACATTTTCTGAAAAGGATGTAATTTTAGAACCTATGATTATAGAAGAGAGAAATAAACATAAAAATCCAAATGCACCTCCAGTTGATAAAGAAGATAAAGAGAAGGACCATATTGAAGTTGAGAAAAAGAACTGTCAATGTTAGTAAAATTATTCTTCTCAAGAAAAAAAAAATATAAATCACTAACATACTGCAAGAACAACACACAGAAAAGCTAAACTTAACATTAAGTACAGCACATAACTTTTCATCTCTCAGCACTGCAAGTGAAACAAGATTTCCAGCCAGCTGCAAATAAATTGGTAGAAAGAAAACTTATTAGGCTTTCACAGCTTCAGTGAAATAACCTAAACACACCAGCATAAATTAATTCTAACATTAAATTTGGATCATATAATTAGACAATTTGCAAAAGATAATAGATGCACCTGGTGGCAGGCAAACATTCCCCAAAATACCCCATTGAAGTTTCCAATCACTGATCCTTCATGCAAATTATAGTCTTTAGCATGATCACGTGCAATTGAGGTAAGATATGTCCCCTGGTGGACCATAATGGAATTATGAACCATGTCATTCTTTTGAAAGTAATTTTCAGAAAGTAAAAAGATAAGAAGTCGAAGAAATCAAAAGAATTCACTTGCACCTGCCCAACCCATATTATTGAAGCTGCAAACCCGAGGTATAGAGAAGCTGGTACCATTGTATACCTAGAAGAATGAGAAGAAATGCAGTTTCAAGAATTATAACAGAAAAGGAAGCAAAAGTTTACAACACTGCTCTTTTTTTTTTGAAAAAAAAGTATTGAACTATATTAGTATGGTACCAAAAAAAAAAAGAGGGTGCCACTCATTTACAAGAGATTTACAAATTAGTTAGTATATCAAGGACATTCCCAAAATTCTCAGCCTTGATGATGTCATGACCTAATACAAGAAAACCAAAATAATTGAACCATCTCTCTCTTAACTTGTTAATATTATTCACAACTCCCTCAAAAGCTCTCAAGTTTCTCTCTTTCCATAAAACCCAAAAAATGGATAGGGGGATGAGTTTCGCAATTTCTGTTTTTAGCCCAACACCCTCCCAAGCCCGAATTTCATCCTCAATCGACCCCGCAGGTACCCAACAAATACAAGGCAAGCCATGCACCAAGCTCCACAATTCAGAAGGAAAAGGACATCTAAGCAAAAGGTGGCGGCAATTTTCCTCATCCCTAAGACACATGAAACATCCATTTACTAGTGTAACACCCCTAGACTTCAGTTTATCCAAGGTTAATATGCTTTCCCTGCAAGCCTCCCAAGCGAAGAATGCCATTCTAGGTGGTGTGGAATTTTTCCAAATTACTTTACTCGGGAAACAGGGAGAGTTATTCAGCCTATGCCTCATTAACCTGCAGCAGTAAGAGCCAACAGAAAACATGCCATTTTTGCTCTCCCTCCACAGTACTTTATCCAGTTTGTTGCCCATTTGAAATTAGGAAATTTTCTTCAACATATTTTCATACTCTTCCACTTCCCAGTCAGTCAAGTTTTTACTCACGTTAACAGTCCATATACATCGATTATGCTCCCACGAATAGGCCTCTTCCACTAGCATATCTTTGGCTTGTGCTGTCGCAAAAATTCTAGGGTAATACTGCTTTAGACAACCCTCCTCCAACCAAGTGTCATCCAGAATCTAGTGCCATTCCCCCTTCCGACTTTCCAAATCAGATTCTCCTTGAAACCAGGCCATCCCATCTTAATTTTCTTCCATAGACCCAGGCCATGACCTCTCCTGTCCACCCTGCCCACACCCGTTAATGCACAACTCTGCCATCTAGCCAAAATCACCCTTCTCCACATTCTTCCTTCTCTCAAGAATCTCCACAGCCATTTTCCTTGCAAAGCTTTATTGAATTCCACCAGTGATCAAATTCCCAAGCCACCTGCATGAATGGGTTTCTTCACATCATCCCACTTAACAAGATGAAACTCCTTGCTATCCTCTCTATCGTCCCAAAGGAATCGACATTTGGATGGATTCCAGTCTTTTTGCAATATTAACCAGAATAGTCAAAGTTATGAGATAGCATACAGGTAAATTTGCCAAGGTGCTCCTTATTAAAGTGAGTCTGCCCCCTTTTGACAAGAAATTCTTCTTCCATCCCGCAAGTCTAGCCTCGAACAAATCAATCACCGGTTTCCAAGTTTTCTTCCCCTTGTACTTAGCCCCCAGCGGAACCCCAAGGTACTAAATAGGGAGTTTTGCAACCAAAAACCCTTGCAAGAGAGCAAACATCTTCCTTGTCACCAAGTTTGACAAGCTCAGATTTATCAACATTGATGTTGAGCCCCGAAACACCTTGAAAACATAGAAGGATGCATTTTAAATGAAGGAGGAATCGCTTTTCTGGTTGGCAAAACAACAAGGTATCATCGGCAAAAAATAAATGAGAAATTTCCATCACCCTGTCGCCACTGCCAATCTCCACTCCTCTAAGAAGCTGAAGCTGTTTTGCCCTTACTAACATTACATTTAACGCCTCCATAACAATGATGAATAACCATGGGGACAATGGATCCCCTTGTCTCAAACCCCCAGAGCCCGTAAGAAATTTGGATGGCCACCCATTTATTAATACAACAAACGATGTAGTTCTCATGCAAGTACTCATCCAACCCCTCCATTTATCTCCAAGGCCCATCCTACACAGCAAGTAATCCACAAAGTTCCAGCTCACGTGATCATACGCCTTCTCCATGTCCAACTTACATACCAATCCTTCTTTTTTGTTCATTGTAAGATCATCAACAATTTCATTGGCCACGAGGACTGCACCTTGGATTTGCCTTCCGGCTACAAAGGCATGTTGGCATTCATCGATGATTTCACTCAAAACTTTAGTAAGTTTATGGGCCAACACCTTCGCCATGATCTTGTATACGCAACCCACCAAACTTATAGGTCTAAATTCTCGAATGTTCTTCGCCCCGTTCTTCTTTGCAATCAGCACCAAGACTTCTTCCAACACTGCTCTTAACTTCATCAAACGGTCGTATCTTCATATTTCACCTCAATATCTTGAATTGATAATCTTTTATCTACTATCGTTATTGCTAAATCAACAGTTACAGTGAAAACTACAGAGATTGCCTCACTGCTTAACAACTCTTTTTTTCTGGACAAACATTCAATACTCATCACATCTAGTTGCATTTATTTATTCTATTACATTTATCTTAACAAGGCCAACATTAAATAAACAGTGGCTTTTCAGCAAACCCACAAGTAATCAAATTTTTTTTGTTCCCACAAGTAACATCACCATTAAGTAATGGCCAAATTTTATAGTCCATTTCAAGGACAAAGAGGCACAAAAACTAAAGCTCAAGATTAATTCAGCAAAAATTGAAATCACTAATTACCATGACGGCACCAAATTTGCAGCAATGAACAGCCAATAACCCGTAGTCCCCAAAATCAAAGCATTCTTGGATCCCAAAAACCGAACCACCGGAGAGGCAACCATAGAGCAAAACATGAAAGACACGTATAATATCCCCAAAGAAATTGTTCCCAAATCCTGAGACAAATTCCAGACCATAAAATGAGTTCAATAATTCACATTCACATTCAATAGATCACCCAAAATATCCGATTCAACTTCAAATATTTGCTTTTTACGTTCAATTTCCCCATACAAACAAGCATAGCCCCAAAGCTAAAACTTCCAAAATAATCTGACAAGCTGAAACACTTCGTTCTCGCCATGACTATAATTTATAATTAAAAATACAGCATTTGACCTTCCCACCAAAATTAGAAACAGCTACACAGTGGGAAGATTACCCACGAACCTCAAGAACCCAGACAATGAAACAGCAGTTCACCTTGTAGACAGTAGTCTCCAGATTCTGAGCAGCTCCGTAGGCAAGGAATACCAACAGGAAGGAAGAGCTCAAAATGTAAACATCTTTGGCATAGTTCTTCGGCGTTTGTATCTGCAAATCATTAACAACCAGCGGTGTCTCTTCGTCACGAGAATCCATAGCTACAGCCTCTTAGATCGAAGTCAAGAGACAACCGCTATAAAGCCCTGAAAGTGGGTGAAGGAGGTCAAAACCAAAAAGAATTAAGTGAAAGAATGCAAATAAGTGAGATCAAAACAAATGTAAAGCCGGCCAGAAGCCGGAGAAGTAGAAAACAGAAAGTGGAATACTCCGGGTGCATGATGCTCGGATGTAAATATTTAATTGTGGAAAACAACAAAATCCATTTGGTGGGAAAGGAAAGTTGGCGGACTCTGAATATTCTATTTTTTCTCCTTTCTTCTCTAAATTGGACAGTTCCTGGAGGAATCAAACAGGATATTTTAACAAACATGAAGGAGAGGAAGACGGCGATTCGACCAAATAAAGACAAACAGATGGGGAATCGAAATAATTTCAATTTCTGCAAGTTTTCTTTTTTCTTTTTTTTGGTTTAATTCTTTGAAGGGTCAGCATCAAGAAGAACCACCTTCAATAATTATGATACTATCTTTCCAAACAATAGGCTTTTTTATTTTTTATTTTTTTTTATTGTTTACTTTTTTGTTTTTGTTGAAAAATAATTAAAATATAAGCTTAACTTCCAAATAAGTAAAACTATTGACTTTCTTATATTGAAAAAAAAATCAAAATACTAAACTGATTAATATAATATTTAAATTAGTTTTTATATTAAATTTTTACCCTTTGATTCTTCTACTTTAAAAAATTTATGCATTAATCTTTGTCCGTAAATTGCCACAAACGTCTTCAGGTCACATAGCTGTTAAGGGTATGCAGCGGTTCCAAAATGAAGTAAGATCGGGATTAAAAGCCACTCAATATTTAAAATAAAGATTAGACTGAATTTGATTTGGTCCCATTCGATCTGGATCAAAATATCAGAATATAAAAATCTAAAATTTTATTTTATTTTTTATTTTTTATTTATAAATTAAAAATAAGATGAAATATAAATACTATTTAATATTCACCCACATAGTAACTATATTTTTTTACATTATCATCATGATTATTGTAGTTGTACTCAAAAGTCTTGTTATAATATAATTTTATATAATAGATACGTATTTTTATACATCTTACAAATTTTATAAATGCACGAGAAATGATTCATATTTAATCAAATTGATTAGATTTCAATACACCTACGACCCATATACGGAATATTTTTAACATTTTTTTCTATACCATAAGAAAATATAAAAAGTCACAAGTTTAAATTGTGTTCTTAAGATTTTATTTGTAAAACATAACTAACTTAAAGTGTGAGAGGCATTTTTTTTTTTAAAATAGTAAACTCTCAATAAACTTTTTATGCTCATCTTGCTTTAGTTGTATAAGAAACTTATTTGGTCAATATATTTTACATATCAGCAACATTGTTCCATAATACAACTATCATTAAAAGTGAAGTTTAATAAACTACTAGTCCATTTTGTTTTGTTCTATAAAATTAATTACACTTGAGATGCATCAAGACGTAGAATTTTATTATAAGTGAAGAAATTCTTCCGATTATATAGATAAAAATTTAAAAGTTTACACTTTAAAAGTTATATCATTTA